CTACGTACGTAGTACGTATATATATATATATATATATATATATATATATATATATATATATATATATTATTCTTTTTTAGTTTTTAGCTTAAGGCACTAACCTACTAACGAAAAAACTAAAAAAATCGAAACTTGAGTTGACCAAAAGGTAATTTTGAAAACAATAAGGGTCGAACGACCTTTATAATTTCCCCATATGAGTGGAGTATTTCATATTTTACTTAAAATTTTAAGGTCCGAACGTAAATCACTATTTATTTTTTAGTATCCATTTGATTGAGAGAGGTTCTTGCTTGTTATTTTCAGCCTCTACTTCGGGGTGGCGACAGGCTGGGTCAAGTCCGTGTTAGCATCGACCCTGACATGACCCGACTAGGCGACTTGAGCCAACCAGATATGGTTGATAACAAACATGGATGCAAGCTAGGTACAATCCAAGGCATTTGGACCCATACTCGACCTGCAGGGTCAGAAACTTGGAACTAGACCAAGACCCAGTTCGGGTTTCACTTGCCAAATCGATTGCTACACCTACCTATACCATGATTCCAGTTTGTGATAAAAGAGCATGTATATTATACTCCTGCATGAGCAATGTGGTGCATTTACTCATTTAAAATTCGTATTTTGGAGGGGTCTTGTCATTCGGGAAAGTTTTCGAAATCAAATAAGAAAATAGGTGAATATTTAGGTACGAATGATTCTAATTTTAAGTTTTTGACACTTACATCACACGATTCAAAGATTTGGACAATCTCTGATCGATCTTGACATGTTATTTTCTTCTAATACCTAGAGAGCTTAGTTTGCAAACTTCTTTTATTTTATTTTTTTACTGTTTGTCAATGGTAAAGAAGGTGTATCCCTAAAACTTAAGCTCCTAAAATTACACTTGTATTGGGGTTTACCAGAGAGAGAAAGGTTTACCAGAGAGAGAAATAAACAGTCTCTAATGGGTGTATAAAACCTTTTGGAATAATAATATAGAACTTGTTTGAATAAAAATCAAATGCCCTTGTTCAAAACTCAAACGAGTGTAAATAGAATTGCTTGCATATGAGAAGCATTATCACAATGCTTACACATACGTAGATGGCAAGCATACAAAGAGACCATTTATTTGTCACACAAAGAGGTCACAATCACCATTATCTATTGACTTAAAATTGGGTGATTGTAAATGTGTTATTGACTAGACTCTGAGTTGATTTCTCAAACTTTGTATCACATTTCAAGTCATTTAATTTGATATCTACTGGCTAATAACAATTGTAACCTCCTTGTAAGAAAGATTAATGGCCTCATAGTATACATTCCATTAATAAAAACCTCACATATAAGTGTCATAACACATATATAGACTTCATCCTTATCTAAAATAAAAATAGTCGAAGGTTATATTCATCATAACAAGTAATTTATAGGCTTGAAAATGATAATCAAATATATCCCTGAGAGCTTTCACAAAAGCACAACTTTGTCAAGTGTCCCTGTGAGATTAACCCCATATTAGGCAACAAGTCCTCTCACCCATTAAAGAATTTCAGAGAGACTTGTCTTATAGTGGTTCTTTTCATTGTATATATAATACAAACTCAATAGTGTATTATACACTTTCTTATTTTGTTACATGCATTATAATCTTTATTATCATGGTTACATTCTCCTCTCCAAAGGAAAGAGCAATATTTCTATTATAGGCTTTCCAAATGCTAGAATTTTTTAATTTTGTTTCTTTTACCCCCCTCAAACTCGGCCAAGGAAGCATTTGAAGCTCGAGTTTGAAGCGAAGCTCTCGAAAAACATATTTTGGCAAATGCTTGGTGAAGATATCAGGTACTTGATTACGAGAGGAAACAAAACAAGTGAGAAATAATCCAAGAGCAATGTTTTCGCACACAAAATGATAGTTTAACTCAATGTGCTTTGTTCATGCATGAAAACAGGATAAACTGTTAGGTAGAGAGTACTAATGTTTTCACCGAAGAATAAAAGAAAGTCATGTCAATTCTGCAGCAATGAATGCCTTAGATCGGTATTCATCTTCAGAACTGAAACAAGCCACAGTCAATTATTTTTTAGCACTCCAAGATATGCATTTGGATCCAAGATAGGTGCATAAACTAGTAGTTGAACAATGAGTGGTTGGACATCCATTGCATTCTGCATCAAAGGAAGCATATAACTCAAGTGAACTAGCAAATAAAATTCTTATACCACAAGATTGTGTAACATTGAGATAATGAAGAATCTGCTTAGCTGCCTGAAAATGCGCAATTGTTTAGACAAGCATATATTGACACACTGTATTAACATTATGGGAAAGGTCTAGCCATGCTATGGTAATGTGTTGGAGTGGACCAACAATGCCCTGATAAAGAGATGGATCAGGAAATAGATTAGAATTCCCATGAATATTATTTTTCATTGTCATTGTTGTTTAAATAGGTTTAGCACCGAGCATCTAAACATGACCATGAAAATCTTGAGATTAGATAAATCCCACATGAAAAGTAAGATACATCTATTCTAACATGTTACATCCACAAGGTACAATTATCTCATTACATGGTGCATACAACAGTTTTGAAACTACCCACTACCCTTTTACAATAGCTTTGAAACTATACCCACTTTGGGATTATATAACTTCCCCATAAAATAACAACCCACTAACATATAGACAACAGTTTTGAAACTACTCATTACCCACAAACCTAGATAACTCCCCACAAAGTAACTACCCACTAATGTATATAGAGAGAGATAATTACCCATCACTCATAACTACCCTAACATCTACTTACAAGAGAGATAAGAAATACACAAACCCCACAACTCTTATTATTTTGTATCATTTTCAACAATAAACCCCCATCCAGGAGCATTCACGGTATAAGAGAAGGATAGTGAAGGAGGACCCATAAGTCCTATTATTTTGCATCATTTTCAACAATAAACCCCAATACAGAGGGAGCATTGACTGCATGAGAGAGGGATAGTGAGGGAGGGGACGCATGTCCAACATGCAGTTGAACCGTTTCAGATTCCATGGCCCATTTGCCCACCCTCCTTGTCCTACATGAATGAGACCTAACGCCCCATGGCAAACATGCACTTCAAAAGCTGCCTCTCAATTACTCACTATCTATGTTTACCATTCCTCGTCCAATATAAATGGTTCACTTCACTGCAAAAATCAAACAAACTCAGGAAACCAGCAGCCTTATTGCTTTGTAGTCCACAAGGATCATGGATAGGCTTTCTTTTACTTTTGCATGTGCCCTACTTCTTCTTGCGGTAGGTTATGTCTCAGCGGCACAAAATCCCCAGTGCAAATTATGCGTGTTGCCATACACAATGGGCAATTTACTTTTTCTTACATATTGTAGTTCCTCGTTTAGGCGATGCCTTTTTTATTTTTAATTTTATTTTTTTTATATGTTACTTGTTTAGATCTTTTTTGATATGGGATGCTTTTCAAGTACTAATCACCCCTATTTTATATTTGCTAAGTTTGTGGATTCTATACTGATATGTTTACTGATTGTTTTCTCTGGTAGTAATCTAGTTTTCATAACATGTTTTATTGCTCGGACGAGCCAGCTCGGACGAGCCAAGAGAGTCGGGTATCCAACTTGGGGATCTTAAAAAAAGAAAATGAGATTTATTTGTAATATGTTTTTCTTATGATTTCTATCATTTTTGTAAAGATGAAAAGTACATTTGGCCATGAATACTTATTATTATAATTTTTTTTTATTTTTGGATTATTTTCTAAAATACCCCTGTTTACAAATTAATGTTTTCAAAATTCAAACTTTTCACTACTTTTTTAACCTCATTTCATTGAGATGTGGTTTGTTTAGTTTTACTTTAAGCATTTTGCCTTAATTTTTGGATTTTTTTATTTTTTTCTGTTTTTAGTTTTAGCACTTTTTGGCCTTGGCCAAAACTGGGCCAAAGTTATTTGCCAAAACGCGGCCCAAGTTAATTGCTTATTATTGTTCCTCATTAAGGCGATATTTAAAAAAAAATAAAAAATTTGTGGTACCTGTTTAACGGTTTATTTAGAGTGTTTTTAACTACCAGTCCCCCTCTTTGGATTTGCATACTTTTTTGTTTTCTATACAAGAAGCATTATGTGTACTAATTGTTTTCACTGTTAGTTTCATGAAATTATTGTATACTGTCTTCGTGTAATGGGATATTTTGAGTTGAATAATGAGCATAAATGGATCTTTGTCATGTCCCCTACCGGGAGTACTGATCTTCACTCCTTTGTTAAATGCTACATGCAGGAAAGGCTTAGCCACTACCATGTGGCGGCGACACCAGAGAGGTATTGGGCTCAGGCATTCCCTAACACTAGAATTCCTGATGTTATTGGCTCCCGCTTTCGCCCCGTACCATCAGAACTGCTGCGTATGGGTTCGGGCAATCGAGATCCCCGCTTCTTCTACTCCGACTTCTCTAAAGAGAATCATGATCCAAGAGAAACCACCCTCTTCCTAGAAAAAGACCTCAAACTAGGAATGAACAAAATTCTCTACTTTCGCAAGTCGGAATTCAGTTGTGCCTCTCCTTTCCTTTCCCGTGAGGATGCAGATGCCATACCTTTTTCGTCTGCTGAGCTCCCACACATCTTACAGCGCTTCTCGTTTTCTCCCGCTTCTAGTGAGGCCGTAGAAGTCGGTGTTACTCTAAAATGGTGCGAATCATTGGAAGTCGGGGAGAAATGCGTCACTTCTCTAGAGGCCATGATAGACTACGCTACCCCCTCTGCTCAGGACCATAACATTACATTGCTCCACACTAGCATCAGCAAGGCTTCTGAGCTCCAAGCTTATACTGCAACAAACGTGCAGAGAGTGCCTACTAAGCCAAGCTCCACAGGGTGCCATAACTTGCCTTATCCTTATGCTGTGTACTATTGCCACTCTATAGGCGAAGGAAGAATCTACGAGGTGAGCTTGAAAGGGGAAGATGGGAGCACAGTAGAAGCAATTGCAAGTTGCCATGGCCACACTAAGAATTTTGAACCATTTCCAATTTGGTTTCAAGCCCTCCCTGCAGGCAAAAAGGCGGATCAAAACAATTATGCTTGCCATTTCTTACCAGATACCCACATCATATGGGCTTCTGTTTAATTCCTCATGATGTGAGGATGCACTCAAAATAACTCATGCTACCTATATGTTGGAAAAGTAACGATGTATGCAGGATCTTAAAAAAGTGTGGCTCATGTTGAATTATTTTCAACTAGGGTAAACATGAACACCGTTGGGTTGGAATTATTACATTTTCATAGTATTCAAAGGCCATCGTTGCTGGAAATTACAATTACAGGTATGTATGGACTCGGCCTTGTCCATTCATACTTTGGCCGAGAAACCCCGAGTTGTGTGTACATTTTTCATCTATTTGGTTTTATTTTTCAAGTATAGAATGAAACCATTTAAATTTTATATATAGTGGTCACAATAATCTTGACTATTGGATGTAAAGTTGGTTGGTTGCAATTATTCCTTTGACCAAGTTCAAACTTCAAAAGAATTTTTCTCAAAATTTGTGACTCTTTCAAGCTATCAAATTTCTTAAGGAATTGTGATGACCTTGTACAAAAGGCAAATGGTTTCATTGCATATAATCCCACAAAAATATTACTCCTTACAACCACCTTTGTGTTGAATCAAGCATCGCAAACAAACTAGAAACTAAGGAAAAGAAGTGAAATAGGTTTCGAGCGTGAGATCGTCCTGAAAGAAAAACTTTGAGCTAAATTTTAAGGGACAACAAACTTTTTATTCAAGATATTGTACGCACGACAGTATACGGATACATACGTAGTAATTCATACCCAAAGTGAAGGCCATAGGGAATGGATTTTTTTTGTTTTAAGAAGCACGGGGAAATAGCTCTGATACCAAATGTTAGAAATATGGAAGCAGAATAGGCTAAAAAATATTTTACTATTACAAAAACAAGTGGGATTACAAGGGAGTAATATGGTCTGTAAAGACCACAAGTATATTTTGAACTCTCATTTTCTTTTACTACTCTTTCATACGTATGGGGCTAGGGAGACTTTTTCTATTTTACACAAATGGATGGGTACAGCTTCTTGAGAAGCTCTCTCTTTCACACGAATAGATTGATACAACACACCTTCAAGCCCCCTTTTTATAGGCTTGTTTATGACGGTGGAGAGAATAGTAGATTGGCGGTGATGAAAGATCTAGAGAGAGAAGGAATGGCAGTGGAGAGATAGAGAGTGTAGAGTTTTCTAGAGAGAGGGAGAAAACTTATACAATTTAACATATTTGGCAGGCTTATAAATGCCTTTAAAAGTATTTTCACATGAAAGAACTCTTCTATGTGATTGAATGTAAGAATTGTTTCACACAATTGGCCCCTAATTAGTATGATATGCAAAAACTTCCATACCTTATCACATTAGGGAGTTTTTTATATAATAATGCTTTCATGGTTACCAAAAGTGCCCTATCGCATTTGCAAAACATTTGTGTCAATAATGTTTCTCCAATTAATAATCAAGGGTCGGTAATTGTTGTCCCTCCACTTGGCACAAAAATGGTTAGCTTTTGAGTGGAACAAGGGCTCTGTCTGTCCTATACCATACACTTTATCCGTATAGAATGTTTTTCACTTCTCAACAAAACTAATCTATTTACCAAAAAACAAAAAAGCAAGTATTAATCCCTCACATATAGAAGTTTTCCCCCTAGCGGAAGTACTGATCTTCACTCACTTGTTAAATGCTGCATGCAGGCAAGGGATAGCAATTACCATGTTGCGGCGACACCAGAGAGGTACTGGGCCCAGGCACTCCCTAACACTCCAATGCCTGATGCTATTCGCACCCGCTTTCACCTCGTGCCATCAGGACTGCTACATATGGGTTCGCGTAATCGCGATCCCCCGGTTCCCATACTCCGACTTTTCTCAAGAGAATCGCGACCCAAGAGAAACCACCCTCTTCTTAGAAAAGGGCCTGAAAGTAGGAATGAACAAAATTCTCCACTTTCCCAAGTCGGAATTCAGATGTGCCTCTCCTTTCCTTTCTCGTGACGATGCAGATGCCATACCTTTCTCCTCTGCTGAGCTACCATGCATCCTACAACGCTTCTCATTTCCTCTCGCTTCTAGTGAGGCTATACACGTTGGTGTTACCCTAAAATGGTGTGAATCACTGGAAGCCGGGGAGAAATGCCTCACATCTTTAGAGGCCATGATAGATTACGCTACCCCCTCTGCTCAGGACCATAACATTACGGTATTTCGCACTATCATCTACAAGGATTCTGTGCTCCAAGCTTATACTGTAACGAAAGTGCAGAGAGTGCCTGCTCAGGCAAGCTCCACATTGTGCCATAACATGCCTTACCCTTATGTTGTGTACTATTGCCACTATATCGGAGAAGGAAGAATCTACAAGATGAAGTTGGAAGGGGAAGATGGAAGCACAGTGGATGCGATTGCAGGGTGCCATCCTCACACCAAGAATTGGGAACCACTTTCATACTGGTTTCAAGCCCTCCTTATAGGCAAAAAGGCCAATCAACACAATTATGCTTGCCATTTCTTACCTGATACTCACATCATTTGGGCTCATGTTTAATTCCCCATGATCCGAGGATGCAGTCAAAATAACTCGGGCTACCTTTGTGAAAATAACTCATGCTAGTTAGATATTGGAATAATAACGATGCAAGCAAGGTATTCATAAAGTATGGCTAGCTTCCCTCAACCCATCTTAGTTTCCTTGTCTGCTTTGCTCATCTTGAATTATCACGTTTTGAAGTATTCAAAGCTCATGGTTGCTGAAAAACACAATTAACAGTGTAGTGTACTTGGACTCGACCAAGTCCAATCATACTTTGGCCAAGTACCCATCGAGTTGTGTACAGCTTGGGGATAAATAATAATAATAATAATAATAATAATAATAAATAAATAAATAAAAAGAAGTAAAAAATCCTATGTCACTTACTCTAAACTTGCTCCCGGAGTTCACCTTTTCTCCCGCCCTCTCTCAAACATCTTTCCCGAAAAACTATTTTCTATCCCATCTACCCTTTTCCAGCATTCATTACCATTGGGATTCCAAATTTCCAGCAAGAACAAAGAGAGGTTTCATGCCCATAAAAGACTCCTGTTCCGGGAAGTTATCTTCTTGGGGGAGAGAGACCATGGATTCGACAGAGTCGGAGAGAAGCCATGGAGCGATAGAGAGAGTGATGTGCTATGCCTGTGGTTTGAGATGAAAGAAGGGAGGGGAGAGAGAGAGAGAGGGAAGTTGTAGAGAAGGTTAGGTGGGTGCATAGAGAAAGGAGAGACGCTTGTCTCATACAATTTTCCTGCTCCCAAAGTGTTTACCTCTGCTTTTTTGTGCTGGTCGTGCCATCAAGATCCTTCCTCTGTTGCCTGGCCTTTAATTTTCTGAAAATTTACATATGGATCGGCTTTTTTTTACCGTTATAATGATATGGCCCGAAAATAGGCCATTATTACTCGAAAGGACGTATCCATGATTTTTTTTATTTTTTTCCAAGTTTTTCCCGATCCGATAGTTGAAACATCAAATTGCTTTATTTATCCCCTCAAAAATCTGCTCTTGTCTTTCTCTCTCTTCTCTCTTCTATCTCTGTCCTCTCTGTCAAGAAACTACAGCCATTGGATGGCTCCATGATAAGTCAGCCAATTCACGAGACTGAAAACCATGGGCTATGATTTCATCAGAATGACTACGTCCTGTAATACCCAAAGGAAGTTAGTTCTTGCCTCTAAAGCAGAGAAAAACACTAAAATATCACAGTGAATTCTAAAAATCAGACGGCTACCGCAATGATTATTGAGGGTATAGTTTTTGAGATATTTCACCAAAACTAGACTTTGGACGCTGCCAGAACTCATTTGGAAGGTTTTCGTGAAGCATGAAGGGCTGAAAACACTTGCATTGAAAAGCCCGCACCTCAGTTAGGGTTTTAAAAAGCGTAACTGCTGCAAACTCTTTTTCTAACAAATACGGAGCCAAGATTATGCGAAGAACGGTAAAAATGGTGATGGGATTTGCATCATCTAGACCATTGATCCTTGTTTTTCAAAAGATGGGATTTGCATCAGCCAGACCCTCGATCATCTTTGTTTTACATTGTAGTTTTACAGGTTTCTCTATTGCCTTTCTTCTTCAACCCTGTTTTGAATGGTTCTCCCACAATCTGTTTCGGTGACTCTCTGTCACTCCTATCTTTGTTCGAGATAGGAGAGAGAGAGAGTGAGTTTATTCTAAGGGAGAGAGAGAGGACGGAGAGAGAAGAGAGATGAGAGAGAAAGAACTTCATCTTCTTTTACTTCATGATGTTGCTCAATTACACTACTACAGGGTTGTAAAATAGTATGATGTAATTTTTTTATCTTGGATTATTGAAAACCGAGAAAGGGGCTTTCTTCCCTACTGATTTACCCAAAAAACAAAAATAGAACATATTTTTGAAGGGATAAATAAAGCAGTCCGATGTGTCAAACATCGGACTGAGGGCAATAAATCTATTTTTAGATTTTATTATAAAATAGTAATTCAGGTTTGTCCTTTATAACACTAAACGACAATTTACTCCATCAATAGCACAAACGTTTCTTGTTGTGTTAACACTTATTCTAAAATACGCACGTGTGAAGGCATCCAATATTTTAGTAATTAAAAATTTGATACGCACATCTTAAAATAAAAAATAAAGGAGATACTATTTTAATAATAAAAATTTAGCATTAAATACATTAAATGTAAAATTGATCTATCTAATTTTTTAAAAATATATATTTCTGTGAACCCTCAGAACTATATTATGTAAAAGCTAATTAAACCAATTTTTTCCAATAATTTTATTCTTTACATCTTAATATATTTTTATATTTCATTAAAGAAGAGTAACTCACGTTTCTCGTTGATGGAACTAAACAACAACTTCATTAGTAGCACAAACCTTTTGTGTTGTGTTAAATCATATTCTAAAACACATACGTGAGTGAGGGCATCCAATAAAAAATTTGATTATTATCTACAAATTATTGCACATCTTAAAATTAAAAAATAAAGGAGATAATATTCTAATAATAAAAATGTATCATTACATGCTTTAAATCCAAAATTAATCTATCGATTTTTAAAAATATATATTTTAGCGAACCCCCACAACCATGTTATGTAAAAGCTAAATAAACTAAATGTTTCTAATAATTTTATTCTTTTCGTCTTAATCTCTAATGAACAATAAATCTATTTTTATATTTCATTATAGAAGAGTAATTAAGGTTTCTCCTTGATGGCATTAAACAACAATTTACTCCATCAGTAGCACAAGGTTTTGGTGTTGTGTTGACACAATTCTAACACACACGTAAGTGAGGGCACGAGATCTACAATTTAAAGGAACGTATTCCATGTGAAAGTGGGAGTGTGATCTGTGCGATCGAGCTCTGTTATGAATGCGATTGAGAATCCTGTAAATAGGAGCAAGCTCCCAAAAAATTTGAAACGGGTTCTGGTCGATATCTCAGCCACAGAGTGCCAGAGCTGAGTTCTAGAACGGGAGTGTCACCCTAGTTGGGTATGATCAGCCCTTTCCAAAATCTTCAAACATGGTATCAAAGCATTTGTAAAATCCAACATGGTATCAAAACGTATGTAAAATTTCAACACTGCATACATCGTTCTTATTTATTTCAACAAATAGGTGGCACAAGTTATTTTGACTGCATAAATTGTTCTTATTTATTCCAACATATGGGTGGCACGAGTTATTTTGACTGCATACATCTTTCTTATTTATTCCAACATATAGGTGGCACGAGTTATTTTGACTGCATCATCTGATCATGGGAAGTTAAACAGAAGCCCAAATGGTGTGGGTATCAGGTAAGAAATGGCAAGTATAATTGTGTTGATCTACCTTTATGCCTACGAGGAGGGCTTTAACCCATGTTGGAGGTGGTGCTCAATCCTAGGTGGTGCTCAATCCTTAGGGTCGCCATGGCAAGTCGCAATTGCTTCTATTGTAGTCCATCTTTCACTTTCAAGCTCACTTCGTAGACTCTTGGGAAAATTATTAAAAAACCCCAATATACACTAACTATGCAACTTACCCCCATGCTAACTTTTTCTCTCACTTTTTTCCCCACAAGAACTTTTCTTCGCAAAAGTATATTTCGAACTCTCTTTTTCTTTTACTACTCTCTCACACGTATAGGGCTTGGGAGACTTTTTCTGCTTTACACAAATGGATAGGGACATCTTCTTGGGAAGCTCTCTCTTTCTCACGAATAGATAGATACAACACACCTTCAAACCCCCTTTTTATAGGTTTGTTTATGACGGTGGAGAGAATACTAGATTGGAGACAATAGAAAGACCTATAAAGAGAAGGAATGACGGTGGAAAGATGGAGAGGAGTGTAGAATTTTCTAGAGAGAGAGACAAATTATACAATTTAAACAAGGATTGGGAACCATTTCAACTTGGTTTCAAGCCCTCCCCCCAGGTGAAGTTGGAAGGGAAAGATGGAAGCACGGTGGACGCGATTGCAGGGTGCCATCCTAACACTAAGAATTGGCAACCATTTTCAAACTGGTTTTAAGCCCTCCCCGCATGCGAAAAGGTGGATCAACACAATTATGCTTGTCATTTCTTACTTGATACCCACATCGTTTGGGCTCCTCTTTAATCCCTCATGATCTGATGATGCAATCAAAATAACTCAAGCTACCTTTATGAAAATAACTCATGCTACTTTGATGTTGGAATAATAACGATGTATGCAAGGTCTTCATAAAGTTTGGCTCAAAAAGCTTCCCTCAACCAATCTTAGTTTCCTTCCTCTTTGCTCGTCTTGAATTATTACGTTTTGAAGTATTCAAAGCACATGGTTGTTGAAAACCACAATTACCAGTGTAGTGTATCTGAACTTGACCAACTCCAATCACACTTTGGCCGAGTACCTCGGGGGTACATAAAAAAAAATTAAAAAATTTAAGATAACAAATAAAAATAAAAAAATATGAAAAAAATTCAAAGAATAGTTAAAATTCGTACGTCACTCTCTCTAACCCCGTCCCCGAAGGTCCGTTTTCTCCAACCCTCCCTCTCTCTCTCTCAAACATATTTCTCGAACAACTATTTTCTATCCCATCTACCCTTTTCCCGCATTTGTTACCATTGGGATTCCAAATTTCCAGCAAGAATAAAGCGAGGTTTCACGCCCATTAAAGACTCCTGTTCTGGGAAGTTATCTTCTTGGAGGAGAGAGACCATGGAAATCTGTTCGGGAGAGTCATCCTCTTCATTGGAGAGAAGCCATGGAGCAGTAGAGAGAGGAAGGTGTGACATGCCTATGGTTTGAGGTGAAAGAAGGGAGGGGAGAGAGAGAGAGGGATGTTGTTGAGAGGGTTAGGTGGGTGCATGGAGAAAGGAGAGACGCCTGTCTCATGCAATTTTCCTGCTCCCAACGTGTTTACTTATGTTTCTTTGCGCTGGCCGTGCTTTCAAGATCCTTCTTCTTTTGGCCTGGCCTTTTAATTTTCCAGATATTTACTTATGGATCGTTTTTTTTTACGGTTATAATGGTATGGTCTGAAAATAGGTCATTATTACTAAAAATGACGTATCTATGATTTTTTTATTTTTACTTTTGTTCCCGATCTGATATTTTAAATATTGGACTACTTTATTTATCCCCTAAAAAATCTGCTCTAGTCTTTCTCTCGATTCTCTCTTCTGTCTATGTCTTCTCTACATTTTTCCCTTTCAAGATACTGCAGCCATTTGATGGCTCCATGGTAAGTCAGCCAATTCACGAGACAGAAAACCACTAGCTATGATTTCATCAGAATGACTACATCCTAGAATACCTAGAGGAAGTTAGTTCTTTCCTCTAAAGCAAAGAAAAGAACGAAAATGTCACAGTGAATTCTAAAACTGAAAAGGATATCACAATAATTGTCTGAGGGTATAGTTTTTGAGATTTTTCACTAAAAGGCTTCCAGAACTCATTGGGAAAGGTTTGGTGAAACATGAAGGGCTGAAAAACACTTCCATTGAAAAGCCCGCACCTCAGTTAGGGTTTTGAGCAGTGTAACTGCTACAAACACTTGTATAACAAATCCTGAGCCAAGATCATGCGAAGAACGATAAAATTTTTGATGGTATTTGCATCATCTTGACCATTGATCCTTGTGTTTGTAAAAGATGGGATTTGCATCATCCAGACCATCGATCATCCTTATTTTACATCCTTTGTAGTTTTGCAGGTTTCTCTCTTGCCTGTTTTCTTCAACTCTGTTTTGAATGGTTCTGCCACATCTGGTTCAATGACTCTCTGTCACTCCTATACTTGCCCCAGATAGGAGAGAAAGATTTTTTTAAAAGGAGAGAGAGGATGGAGAGAGAAGAGAGAGAAAAAAGATAACATATTTCCGAGGGGATAAATAAAGCGGTTCGATGTTTTGAATTGGAAGAAAACTTGCCAAAAACTTAAAATATTAAGGATGTATCCCTCAAGATAATAACATCTTATTTTTTAGCCATACTGTTATGGCGATAAAATTGAGGAGTAGGAGATTTTCATAACATAATCTTTAGAGATAATTTTAGGACCGCTATTAAACGACAAATTTTTTTTTTTATGAATTCTTCCAATTTATTCAAAGTGCAATATTATATCTATTATATTACACATAGCAGACCTTTTAATGACACATGGAAGTCACTGTAGTTGGTTAGTAGTTACTGCAGTTTTATGTATGTATGCTCCTTGTTTGCGATGCTTGATTCAACACAAAGGCGATTATAAGGAGCAATTTTGGTTTGAAACAGGTTGTAAGTAGTTAGTGATTCTGTTTGTGATGCTCTCCGATTATGTAGCTGATGGAGAGAATAGGGATGGCAATGGGCCGGGCTTGATCCTAGCTCGACCGTATTCCCTTAATATCCAGACCTGGTCCTTAAAGGAAAATAAAGATAAAAAGATAAAAAATTATAGTCCGGTCCCAAAGAGGAAAGATCTTGAGGGCACGGTAGTGCAAGGAAGAAGAAATAAACGAATGGCAAGTAAAGAAATTGCATGAGACGTGTGTCCCCTTTCCCTTGCACCCACCTAACTCTCTCCACATCTCCCTCTCCCCCTCACTTCTTCCAACTCCAACTACAGACATGGCACATCTCTCTCTCCTTCCATGGCTTCTCCCCAACTATGGTCTCCCTCCATGAAGAGGATGATTTCGCTAAACAGATTTACATGGTCTCTCTCCCCCAAGGAGAAAACTTCCCTTATCAGGAGTCCCTCCATGAAGAGGATGATTTCGCTAAACAGATTTACATGGTCTCTCTCTCCCAAGGAGAAAACTTCCCTTATCAGAAGTATTTTATTTATGGGCATTGAAGCTCTCTTTATTCTTGTTGGAAGAGGGTAGATGGGGTAGAAAATAGTGGTCGGGAAAGAAGTTAGAGGTAGGGGCGGGGGCGGGGGCGGGGGCGGGGGCGGGGGCATGGGTGGGGGTGAGAAAGGGGTTTAGAGAGAGTGAGAAAGGATTTTTAACTATTATGTAGATTTTTCTTTTCTTTTTTTTTGTATCCCTGAGCTGTACACACAACTCGGGAGTGCTCAGCCAAAGTATGAATGGACTTGGCTGACTTTGGATACACCGGTAATTGTGGTTTCCAACAACAATGGGCTTCAAATACTTTAGAAATGTAATATTTCAAGATGAGCAAAAAGAACAAGGAAAAAGGGAAGCTATGTGAGACACACTTTATTAATATCATGCATGTTGAAAATCATGAAACATTTTAGGTTGTGTGATGCAAAACTTAAGGACGTGTGGTCCGTGTTTGTTTTTTAGTTATGAGTTATGGGTATCTCTATATGTTAGTGGGTGTTAGTGGATAGTTACCTATTGTGGGGAGTTATCAAAGAATCACTCTGTGTTAGTTAGTAGTTATCTAGAAATTGTGTTTGTGAGTAGTTTGAGTGACGTAGGTTTGTGGGTAATTTGAAAACTGTTAGGTAAATGCATATAAATAGGCACCATGTAATGAGTTAATAGTGACATGTGGATGTAACATGTACAGCTCATGTGAAATGAGATATTTGTAATAAACCTTTTGAGTTTGTAATTATTTCTCCTAAAAAGAGTGTGTATTTTTTTAATCTAATACTGTAGAAGAGCCACAAATCTTTCCAAATGATACCAACAGTGGTATCCGCCCCATAGTTACCTAGAGCAGGAGTGAGAACGGCTTCAGTTTTGAGAGTGAGAGCGTAAGATCGACGGCTTCCCAAAGCTCCAAAGCTCAGGGAGAGAGTTTCGGTCAGGTTAGAAAACACAAATCAAGATCTTGTTTGAATAGGAAGCGAGTTCTCGATACATTGGGATCGAGATCCTTATTTAACGAAAACGCGTTCCATGTAAACTGAGATCGTGTTCCCATATTCATTTAGATCATGCTCCCATCGAAAATAGAAACGAGATCCCCCTTTAAGGTTGAGTCGTGCCCCTTTCTAAGAAAGGCCGCGTTTCAAATTGAAAATGATCAAGATCCATTCTAGGTGCTTTTTCAAAAAGGTTTGAATCTCCTTTTTTGCCCTTCCCAAGAAAGAAATGTATGTTCTAAAATGATAGCATTAAATGCTCGATATGTATTAAAAAAGTTATGCGAAATTGAAATGGAAATGATTGGCATAAAGGATATCATTAAAAAGACGTTAAGTATTCATGTTTGATGTGAACCCACAAGACCATATTATGTAAAAGTTAAATAAACCAAATGTTTTTTATAATCTAATTTTTTTTTATCTTAATCTCTAATGAACAATAAATCTATTTTTATATTCTATAATAAAAGAGTAATTCAGGTTTGTCTTTTATGGCACTAAACAACAATTTACCTACCTCATTTATAGCACAAACGTTTTGTGATGTATTAACACTTATTCTAAGATACACACGTGAGGGGGGGGCATCCAAATTAAAAATTTGATCATCACATCTGCATTTAATGCGCATCTTAAAAATGAAAAATAAAGGACATACAATTTTAATAATAAAAATTTATTATTACATAATTAAATGTAAAATTGGTCTATTTTATTTTTTAAAAATATATATTTATGTGAACCCTCACGGCCATATTATGTTTAAGCTAAATAAATCAAATGTTTCCAATCATTTTATTATTTTCGTTTTAATCATTAATGATCAATAAATCTATCTTTATATTTCATTATAAAAGAGTAACTCAAATTTCTCCTTGATGGCAATAAACAACAATTTACTCCATTAATAGCACAAATGTTTTATGTTGTGCTGACATGTATTATAAAGTACACACCTAGTGAGGGCATCCAATATTTTAGTGATTAAAATTTTTATCATTACATGCACATTTAATGCTCATCTTAAAAATATAAAATAAAGAAGATACTATTTTAATAATAAAAATTTATCATTACATGCATTAAATGTAAACTTACGTAAATTTGATCTATCGATATTTTTGAAACATATATTTTTGTGACCCCTCACGACCATATTATGTATAAACCAAATAAACCAAATGTTTCAAATAATTTTATACCAAATAAACCAAATGTTTCAAATAATTTTATTCTTTTTATCTTAATTTCTCCTGGTTGTGTTAACTCATTCTAAAATACACACGTGAGTAAGGGCATCCAATATTTTAACAATTAAAAATTTGATCATTATATAAGCATTTAATGCACACCTTAAAAATGAAAAATAAAGGAGATAATATTTTAATAATAAAAATTTATCATTATATGAAACATTAATCTATCAATTTTAAAAAACATATATTTATTGAACCCGCACTGCCATCTAAAAGTTAAATAAACCAAATCTTTTAAATAATGTTATTCTTTTTTTCTTAATTTCTAAAAAACAATAAATCTATTTTTATATTCCATTATAGAAGAGTAATTTAGGTTTCTCTTTAAAAGCATGAAACAATGATTTACTCCTTCAGTAGCACAAACTTTTTGTGTTGTATTAAAACGTACTTTTTGTGTTGTATTAAAACGTATTATAATGAAACAATGATTTACTCCTTCAGTAGCACAAACTTTTTGTGTTGTATTAACACGTATTATAACACACGTGAGTGAGGGCACCGGATCTAAAATTTAAAGGAACAAATTCCGTGTAAAAGTGGGATCGCGATATGTGAAATGGTATGATCGAGCTCCGTTATGAATACAATCGAGAATCCTATATATAAGAGTGAGCTTCCAAAATAATTGAAACGGGTTCTAGTCGAGATCTCGACCACAAAGTGCCAGAACTGAGTTCCGAAGCGGCGCCAAAACTGAGTTGCGGAGCGAGAGCACCACTCTAGTTAGGCGCTCCCAGTAACTATGATAATCCCTTTCCTAAAACTCCAACATAGGATAGAGATTTTGTAAAACTCCAACATCAGAGCATATGTAAAATGTAAAATTTCAACACTCCATACATCGTTCTTATTCAAACATATAGGGGGCACGAGTTATTCAAACATATAGGTACTATGTAAAATTTCATCTGACCATGGGGAGTTAAACAGAAGCCCAAATGACGTGCGTATCAGGTAAGAAATGGCAAGCGTAATTGTGTTGATCTGCTTTCTTGCCTACGGGGAGGGCTTGAAACCACATTGGGATTGGTGCCCAATCCTTAGTGTCGGCATGACAAGTCGCAATTGCTTCTACTGTGCTCCCATCTTCCGCTTTCATGCTCACCTCGTAGATTCTTCCTTCTTCAATATAGTGGCAATAGTACACAGCATAAGGATAAGGCATGTTATGGCACACTGTCGAGCTTGGCTTAGTAGGCACTCTTTGCACTTTTATTGCAGTATAAGCTTGGAGCACAGAAGCCTTGTTGATGCTAGTGCGGAGCATCGTAATGTTATGGTCCTGAGCAGAGGTGGTAGCGTAGTCTATCATGGCCGCTAAAGAAGTGAGGCATTTCTCCCCGGCTTCCAATGATTCGCACCATTTTAGGGTAACACCAACTTCTACAGCCTCACTAGAAGCGGGAGGAAACGAGAAGCGCTGTAAGATGCGTGGGAGCTCAGCAGATGAGAACGGTATGGCATCTGCAACCTCGCGGGAAAGGAAAGGAGAGGCACAACTGAATTCCGACTTGCGAAAGTAGAGAATTTTGTTCATTCCTACTTTAAGGTCCTTTTCTAAGAAGAGGGTGCTTTCGCTTGGATCACGATTCTCTTTAGAGAAGTCGGAGTACAAGAATCGGGGGTCTTTATTGCCCGAACCCATACACTGCAGTCCTGATTGAACGGGGCGAAAGCGGGCGCTAATCACATCAGGCATTCGAGTGTTAGGGAATGCCTGAGCCCAGTACCTCTCTGGTGTTGCCGCAACATGGTAGTGGCTAAGCCTTGCCTGCATGCAGCATTTAAGAAGAAGTGAGTGAACAGCAGTGGCTAAGCCTTTCCTCTCTTTCTAATACTTGCAATTTACGTTCCTAAAGAAACCAAAGGGACTGCTTTCCATATATATCCTAATTTATTTCCATCCAAAGAAAAACATAACATCTACTTATTAAAAAAAAGGAAAAAAAACCATACTAATTTTATTTCTCAAAAAAGGTAACTCTAATAAAAAAATACAAAATTCTACTTAAACTTTAAAAATAAAATATCCCCTTAATGAGGAACAACAATAAGTACGCAAATAGTGGTACAGAGCACGCATAATTTACGGTGTGGATTTTGTGCACACTGAGATATAACCTACCGCAAGGAGAAGTAGGGCACATGCAAGAGGAAGAGGGAGGCTCTCCATAATTCTTGTGTGCTACAAAGCAATAAGACTGCTGGTTTCGTGAATTTGTTTGATTTGTGCGACCCATTTATATTGGAGGAGGAGGAATGGTGAGAGACAGCTTATGAAGTGCATGCTTGCCATGGGGCGTTAGGTCTCATTCATGTAGGATGAGGAGGGCAGTAATAAACATGGCCAAATGGGCCTTGGAGTGAGAAACAGTGTCAACTACGTGTTGGACATGCGGCCCCTTCCCCTCTCTCATGCTGTGAATGGTTGCTCTGTACAGGAGACTTTCTTTCCAGATATACAACAATATTATAAGAGCCTGGAATTTTGGATATTTAAAATTCAAATTTTTTTATAAATTTGTAATATCCAGGATTCTTCTCATGAATTCCAGAAATCTCTTTTTTGATCTATAATACAAAATTCACAATCATTTCGATGTTCATTGTTTGATTTCGATGTTCATTGTTTGGTAACAAAATTTGAAACATTGCTCACTTTAAAATTTTAATATACTCTCTATAATTAAAAATTTAGGATAGTCTCTCCCTCTCTAAATTTTTCGAGATAGTTTCCGTCTCTTAAAATTTGATATGGTGTCTCTCTCTAAAATTTTAATATACTTTGTTTAAAAAACTTAAAACTTAGTATAGTTTTTCTCTTTAAAATTTTAAGATACTTTGTCTCTCTAAAAATTAAAATTTGAGATAGTTTCTCTCAATAAAATATGATATAGTTTTCTCTATGAAGTTTTTAGATATTTTCACTCTTTAAATCTTAAAATTTGAGAATATTTCTCTCTAAAATGTTTTGGACAGTGTCTCTTTTTTAAAAAGTTTAGCTACTTTCACTCTCTAAAGTTTGATATAGTTAGTCTCTCTAAAATTTTAGAATAGTTTCTCTCATTAATACTTAAATTTTGAGATAGTTTCTATGTATGAAATTTTGAGATAGTTTCTCTCTCTAAAATTTTAATATAATTTGTCTCTCTAAAACTTAAAACTTGATATAGTTTCTCTCTCTAATAATTTTGAAATACCTTTTCTCTCTAAAATTTGTAGGTACTTTCTCTTTTAAAAATTTGACATATTTCTCTCTCAAAAATTTAATAATACTTTCTTTCTCTAAAACATAAAATTTGATATAGGTTGTCCCTAAAAATTTTTAGATAATTTCTCTCTCTAAAAACTTTTAGGTAGTTTCTCTATCTAAAATTTGATATAATTTCTATCTCTAAAGTTTCGTCATACTTTCTTTCAGAACTTTTAAATTTGAGATAATTTCTCTCTCTAAAGTAATTAAGATATTTCTCTCTTTAAAAATTTTCTGGCTATTTCTAACTCTAAAATTTAAAACAGTTTCTCTCTCTCAAATTTTAAAAATACTTCCTCTCTCGAAAACTTTAGATTTGAGCTCTCTCTAAAATGTTTGGGTATAGTTTCTGTCTTAGAAAACTTTCAGGTACTCTCTCTAAAATTTGATATAGTTTCATTCTCTAAAATTTGATATAGTTTTTCTCTCTAAAATTTTAAGATAATTTTTCCTCTAAAGTTTAAATTTTGAGATACTTTCCTTAACCATAATTTAAAATTTGAGATAGTTTCTCTCTCTAAAATTTTTTGGGTAGTTTCTTGCTCTCTCTAAAACTTGTTATAGTTTCTATCTCAAAAATATCAATACATTTTCTCTCTCTCTAAAACTTAAGATTTGAGATAGTTTATCTCTCTAAAAAATTTGGGATAATTTCTATCTCTAAATATTTTCAAGTATTTTCTCTCAAATTTGATATACTTTCTCTCTCTAAAATTTTACGATACTATCCCTCAAACATTAAATTCAGGATAGTTTATCTCTTTAAGAAATGGCATGCACATTCTCTCTCTAAATTTTGATATAGTTTCTTGTTCTAAAATTTTAGTATAATTTTTCCCTCTAAAAATTAAAATGAGGTAGCTTCTCTCTCTAAAATTTTTGAGATAGTTTATCACTCTAAAATTTTTTTACTCCATTTTAATATAGTTTCTCTCTCCAAATATACTTTCGCTATCCAAAACTTAAAATTTGTGATAGTTTCTCTCTCTGAAAATTTTGAGATAGTTTCTCTCTGTAAAATTTTTTAGCGGTTTCTTTCTCTAAAATTTTCATACCTACCAAATGTGCCACAAGTTTCGGGTCCAAGAGCCTACTAGTGGAATTCACGGGCTTGGAAATTAAAAAAAATAGGTTTTTGTGTAGAAATGTAATTGTAGAAAAGTTAGGTGATTTTCCAATATTTAATTTCTATGGAGTTGTAATATGTACGTGCCCTCAAGATCTTTCCTCTTTTTGGCTGGGTCTTTAATTTTTATATTTTTTTTGCTTTATTTTCTTTTAAGGGCCAAGCCCCCAGTTTAGGGGAATAGAGCCAGACTAAGATTAGGTCTGGCCTGGCCCAATCTCGGCCCATTGCCGACCTTGCTCTCTGCGTTGGTTACATAAGCCGACAACATCACAAACAGACACAAGCTCTCTGCATTGGGAAGCCGAAAAAGAAATGCAAACGGCTTCGAGCATGAGATCATCTTGAAAGAAAAACTCCCAACTAGTTTTTCGGAGATAACAAACTTCTTTTTATTCAATATGTTGTGTGTACGTATAACTGAAGTAACTATTAACCACAACATACGACTACATTAACTAATATATACATGATATCCATGATCAGTGCTTTTAAAATCCACTGGCTTCCTAATGCTACGTACCCAATTCCCACTATTGAATACATGCAAATTTATTTATTTTTAACATTTAACAGTAGCTTTTCATTGATGGGATGAAAAATTAGAAGAAAGAGTAACTGAAAAAGAAAAGCAAACGAAGAGAAAAAAAGAAAGCACAATTACAATCCTACTCCTCTCGCAATAGCGTCAGCACTCCCTTTCCTTCCCCTATGAATATGAATAAAGGAGACCTCCTTCCTACATAGGCTTTTGTTAATACTATCCCAAAGATGGGTCCATTGCTAAGGGGTAAAAGTAGGGTTCTTGCACCAATTGATGACATTGAGGGAGTCTTTTTTTATGAGAATTTTCTGAAACGAGTAGTTGAGTTTACTGGTTCCATGATAGAGGGCCTAAAACTCACCTTCATTAGCAGAACATGTTGGCAGGGTCCCATGAAAGGAGCAGATAATATTACCAGAACAATCTCGGAGAAGCCCCCCATAGCTAGCGACCCTCCCATCCTCCCTGACACTACCATCGAAATTAAAGTTTCACCCAGCCAGGAGGTGAAGGGAACCACGTGCTGTCTTTCATAAATTTCTTTTTTTTCAAAGCCAAAAGCTTATGGAAGATGGAGTCGAAAAACTCTTTCGAGAAGTGCTTGAAGAATAGAGTCAACAATGATATCAAACTGTCTAGCGTTTCCTTCAAAGCATCGAGCATTTCTCTCCTTCCAAATGGTTTAAAGGATAGAAGCAATGCTTAGGTGCCAAAGGACAGACACCATGAGGAGAAAGGGAGGGATCATCCATGAGGAAATAGGCCCTCAATATTATTAGGCATCGCCCAATGCCAATTACTTTTGAGTAAAAGCCAGCCCCAAATCTGTTTCAAAAAAAGGTAGTGTAGAAAGATGTGATATGCAAACTCTCCATCCTACTTGCAAAAGACGCAAACATTGACAATTGGAACTTCCTAATCCGAAGTTGATCCATGGTGAGGACACGACCCCAACGAAGCAGCCACATAAACGGTCTCAGTCTAAGAGGAGCTTTACATGACCACACCTTTCTAGAGAAGTTATTTGCGGGGATGAATCTATCCATCCACAGTATATTGTAGAGAGACTTAACTATGAAAACACCCGAAAGTTCCAGGTCCCAAATGACCTTGTCACCCCAAGAAGGGGAGAGGCATAGGTCGTAAAGTCTAGACATTAGTTGCAGGTACTGATGTTCCACTTCAAAGCTAACGCGTCTTGAAGAGAGGGTCAGATTCCAAGTGATGTTCTCCCTTTGCCATACTGAAACATCACTAATGAGAAAATTCTTTGGGATACATTTAAGAAACAAGTCAGGGTACTTGGATTTTTAGAGGAGGACCTCAAAGTAGGAATGAAGGAAAATTTCCACTTTCGTGGGTCGGACTACAATAATTCCTCTCCTTTCCGTTCTCATGAAAATGCAAGCACTACACCTTTCTCGACTGCTAAGTTCCCCGAAATCTTGCCTCCTATGTCTAGAGAGGCTCAGGAAGTGTGCGGAGCCCTAACGTGGTGTGAATCTTTGGAAGCCAAGGAGAAGTGTCTGACTTCTTTGGAGGCCGTGATTGAACATGCCAACTACTCTGCTCTGGGCCATAACATTACTATGCTTCAAACCATCACCAACAACGCTTCTGTGCTCCAAGTATACACTGTGAAGAAAGTGGAGAGAAAGGATACCAATTCTTGCTCAGTAGTGTGCCATAACATGCCCTATCCTTGTGCTTTCTACTATTGACACTATGTCAGAGATCGAAGAATATACAAGGTAAGGTTGGAAGGAGAAGATGGTAGAATAGTGAATGCAATTGCCGGGTGACATGCAAGCTTTAACTCTTGGACTTCTCCGAGCTTTGGGTGGATCGGCCCCCCTCCTGGCATGAAGCCGGATCATGGTTTTCTTTCCCATTTTTTGCCTGATAGCCACATTGTATGGGTTAAAGTCCCAATGATTTCAGAAAGCAGTGAAAATTGCTGATCCTAATCTTATTATGATTGCCATGAGCACAATGTAAGCAAGGTTTTCTAATGAATATGTTTTACATGGCTTTATTTAATTCGGTGCTGAGTTTCCTTTTTTTTTTATTTTTTTTTGTCTATGTTTTCTTGGGTTTGATTGGCTTTCAATGGGGAAAACCTGTGTTTAAAAAATAGGTGATCCAGATCAGAACCGGCCGATTTGGATAAAGAAATCAATCAGTCCAATCCGAATCCTATAATACATCGGGAAGCAGCCGATTCCCTAATGAACTGGCACGTAGCGGCTGGTCCTTTCCAATTCTCAAACAGAACTGACGGTTTTGTCAAAGAACCGATATAAACTGGCTCCACTTTTCTTTTTTCATAGTTACTAAACTAGTTGTTTGGGTTCAATTCTATCCGGTTCTATCAGAGAATTGGCCAGTGCCACCTCCAGTTAAAATTTTCAAAGTTTTCTTTCAAAGTTTTTTAATTCTTGGTCTAGTAGACAACATTGCCAATCCACTAAACTACATCATAAATCTAGAAGCACGATCCGGGTCACCGATGCATTTCTTAAATCTTCAAGAAAACCTATAAGCTTCGTTCCTTGAACGAGATAGGCTGACCGGGAGCTATTCAATGTGCTTTTCAATTAGATATTTTGTTCATGATATGAATACTGTAGAGAACTCTCTCTTTATTAACTTAATCAAAAATATACATGACCCCGTATAAATATACTACCAGTAATAATTAAAAATAAATACCAATAATTATGGAAAATTACTTACTACTCTTATCATAATCAAGAGACACCTAATTAAGAGATATATTCCCATGCAGTTATATATATATACTGATATGTATTCATAATGATGTATATCAATATCGATATCCATATGCTAATACTCCCCCTCAAACTCAAGATGCTTTTACACAAAGCAGCTGGAATTTAAACAATAAGTTGCATAAACGAACGAGTTGGATCTTTAAGTCTTCACGTTCATAGCATAACCAATAGAAGCAGTGGTCTCTTGCTTGAACAAGAAGCACATAATGGCACTTTACAGAATGACACTTGGAAGAGCCAACAGAACTCGGTGTGGATCCGAGATAGATTCATCAGCTCGTAGTTCGAAACAAATTCAACAACTCGCAATCAAGAACACAAGCCAGAACAAAGACAAAGGTTGTTTTGTAGAGAGTCGAAACACGAGTCGACAGATAGTCGAAACACGACTCGACAGATAGTCTAAACACAACTTGGCAGATAGTCGAAACACGACTCGACAGAGAGTCGAAACACAACTCGGCAGATAGTCGAAACACGACTCGGAAGAGAGTCGAAAGCGAATCTGAGACCTTTGGCAATGCTTCCTTGTGCTATGAGTTTCTCTCACTAAGCTAAGAGTGATGATTGCTTCAACCATGGACGAAAGGAGTGCTAAAGTTTTTGTGCTTTAGAATCGAAGCGATCGATAGAAGAAGCTTGCGCAAGTTTTGAGTATGTCTTTATTGGGGTAAACAAAGAGGCTTGACTCTAAGAAGACATAAGAGTCGAGGAATTCATTCGAGAGATATTTAACAATTGAATAGTCAACAATTATGCACCGTGTAGAATCAAGGATCTCTTCGATTTGTGTGCCAGAGAGGGTGCGAAGGCCAAGACCTTTGGGGTCAGCACAGACCGGGGGCTCCCTGAATATGATCTCAAGTAGCTTCTCAAACCCCTCAAAGCCAATGAGGGAATGAAAGGCCTTTCTTATGCAAAGCACATTCAAAGTGCAAAGGAACAAAATGCATATTGAACGGAAGAAAAAGCTTTATATATAGATGGTGCAAGCTCTCTTGTGCTGTTTTGGGGTGAATTGTTTGCTAGTGTAGATACCAAGGAGGGGATTAGATTGCTAGTGTAGCGTTGGGCCAAACAAGGGCGAGAGCAGGCAATGCAATTCGATGCAAAACGGTAACGAGGGTAAGCAATGAGAGTCCAACGACCAGAACATGTGGATTGTAGGCGTTACTTTTAAGCGATGAGAGCAGGCAATGCAAACAGCTACGAGATTTTTTATTTTTTTTTTGCAGAGGGTTAACATTGAAGAAAGAGAGTCGGAATGAATTTGAAGCCAAGCTCGGATCCGACAACCTCATATCAGAGGTGTGAGCTCAGATCTCGGGTTGAGGAGCCTATGGCTCTGATACCACGTTAGAAACTCAGAATACTGTAGAGAACTCTCTCTTTATTAAATTAATCAAGAATATACAAGATCCCGTATAAATATACGGTCAATAATAATTAAAGATAAATACCAACGGTTATGGATAATTACAAACTAATCTTATCATAATCAAGAGACACCTAATTAAGAGATATAGACCCCTTCATAATGAATATATATATATATATTATACGTATTGACTTATTACTACCAAAAACTACTACAAGACCTAACCTAAACGAAAGTA